GTATGTATAAATTAGGTTTAAATTTTCAAAATACAAGGCTGGCCCACAGGCAGCATTTGCTTGAAGAGTCTCATTTTTAGATCTTCCCTGTCATCGAGTGCCCACTTCACTTTTCTCGTACAGCTATTAAATGTGCTTTGATTATTGATGGATATTTTCTGTATTTAAGTATTTATATATTTAAGAGGAGTTTTTTGTTTGCTTTCTTGGTATTTTAATCAGTGATTAGTATTAAATGCATTTCTATTGTTTCTGTAATACAGTTTAAAATTTTTTAAAGGTCCAAGTAATCTTTTAAATCAAATTACTTACCTATAAAATTATAAGTGCATTTTAAAGAGTGTAGATTGTTAATGAAACAAGATTTTGGAAAAAGGTAAGAGATAGAAGGGAGCTATTATGAAGCAGGCACATTTGCAGTTTTTTGATACCTGTTTGTAATCATGTTATTCAGTCAAGGCCTTGTGGTTTGAATTTTGAAACTTAGAGAACCCCTTGAATATGTCTTTGGTGTAAAACATGACTGAAATAACTGTATACATATAATTATATCAATGTAAATCTGAATACAGCGAGACATGTTAACTTTTTATAAATTTGCCACTGGAGTCAATAAAGCAGCTTTAAGAAACACTGAAATTTTACTTAGCCCAATAAGGCTTTATTTGTTGTAAACGCTCAAACATAATTCACATTGTATATACTATCCAACACTTAATTTGCCATTCTCATGCTTATATAAAAACTAAGCCCAAGAAGAGTGAATTACCTCATAATATGTAAGAACCTTTTAAGAGGGCTAATCAACACGTGAGCCACATATGACAGGAATTCCTCTTATGTACCTCCTTGGAAATTGAGATGGAGGATAGGATTATATCTAAACAACCATGAATTTTTCTAGCTGATTACTAGGCTTGTTAAGCCTCTTGTTAAATTTTCTTCAGTTAGGAGTTCTTTAGTATGCTTGCATAGATTTTGAGATATTTGTGAATCTCCCAGGAAATTGTAAACTTCTGCTTGTGTATACAGTTTCCTGATGAGCAGGTTTGTAGTAATGAATTAGTGATGAGTCCATAGTCCTGAGGAAGATGAGAAACTGCTCTAATGACATAGTAAACATTTCCTGTGTCTCATCTATTTCAGTCTTACACGTCTCTTCTATGTGTAAGATACCAACATGGACACCAAGCTGAGTGCATTAGAGATTCATGATAAGACATTTGAATTACCTCGATACAGCACAGTGAATGTAGTGGTAACAGCCAAGTACACTGCTGAAGGAACACACAGGAAGGTGGGGGATGGCAGAGAAGGAAGTGATGGAGTAACTTTCTGAAGGAAGAGATGATGCCTAAACTAGGAAATCGGAACTAATCCTAAGAACAATTCAAAAGTGGGCTGTATCTGCAGTTTACATGGGAGACTTGTGAATACAGTAACTGGTAACAGTTGAAGTATGCAGAGCAGAATAAAGGCATAGGCAAAGACGATTACAGGAAGCTGAGCAGCTTCAACTTTATCATACTTGTCTAAATTTTATATACTTGATCATAAAAGAAAAAGTACACTGTACAAAAAATTCATAGGTATAAAGTTGTAAGATATGTAACTGCCAATGAAATACTACGTCTTTTGTGTATAAATATATAAAAGGGCTAGTGTTTTTCTCTCCTACACATAAGCCAGGGGCTTACTTTAAGTGCTTAAATGTATAATACATTGTGCCTGGAAGATTGGGTAAGCGAAGCTACTGGAATGTTCTGAACAGGAATGTGAAGATGTGGACTTAATTTCTTCTGACTGTTGAGTGAAATTTGAAATACAGTTGAGTACATTAAGACTAAAATGCTTTGATGTGTTTAGCATACTTTTCTTGTATCAGACCACAATGATGAAGGTATCAATGAAAATGGAATAGAGAATGGATTTTTGAAATATTTGAAGGCTCTTAGCTTTAATACTGATTGGCTACTTAAAATACCCTGTTTAAATTTTCTTACAACAAATTTCACACTGACCAAATCATTTTGGTACCAATTTTGCTAGTATTGGATGTACTAAATAGAAACCATGTATCTTTATTGGAAGATGAACAGCATAGCTAAGGTTTAGACTATACTGAATTAGTAAATGTAAAAATACTGTATTTGTTTGACTTGGATTCAAATTAAACATTTCCACTTGCAGCAAATACTCCTCAAAAAAATGTCTAACATTTTTAAGGGTTAAAAAAACCAAGATAATCAGCTCTGGACAAGGACAAAGTTTTAAATTAGTTGAAATTTCTTTTAATTAAAAGACCAAGGGATAAGAAGCTCCTTTGTTACAGTACATTACGTATGGCTCTTTATATATAAAGTAGACATTTGGGAGTCAAATGTTTAAACCAGCACCAAACTCAGGCGAATAGTGAAGCAAGATTTCTTTTACTGGCACTGAGACTGTATTCATCTTTACATGCAATATATTCTTTGGTAGACTTAATCATTTGATGGAATTATAGAATTTGCAAAGGAAAATAGTAAACTAATTTAAGTTTTGAGCACAACTTACCACCATAAACTATACAAACTTAAGAAGTCTATATTGCCTTAGAACTTGCCAGTTAGCATTAAGTAAAATAAAGTGGGATAAATGAGTTTTTAAAATACTTTTCATGGGCCAGGGATTTAGCTCAGTGGTTATGGCGCCTGCCTTGCAAGCGCAAGCTTCCGAGTTCAATCCCCAGTACCGCCCCCCCCACAAAAGTTAAAATACTTTTCATGATGTTTCTTGTAACTGGACAAATTTTGAAGCATATGGAATTCTTTCAATTCATAATGGCTGCTGCTTTGTCCCTTTCATCCTCCCCAAAACAGGTCTATAAAGCATCATTGTGGAACAGCTATCTAAAACACTAGTAAAGCATATAAACAATGTTAGCAGCAATTTTTAACTATACCATAACATTCTTATATTTGTGCCTTGTACTCTTAAAAACATGGAGGTTGAAAGTGGATCACTTTCAATCAATTACAATAAATGAAAGGAATATTATATAATTTTAATCTGTCATACAGCAAGGCAATATATCACAAAATTTCAATGTCAATTTGGTCTGAAAACATTTCTCTGTGCAGTGAGCTTTCTTCCATCCAGTGGTATATTTCTAAAGTGGTTTGTATTTTGCTCTTATCCAGATCCCAAAGTATTTCCCACTATGGATCCAGAATTGAAATATTTTAGTATCTTTTGGGTGACATAAGATTAGTGTCATAAATGTATAATTACAAATGGAGCCACCCATACTGCCATAGTTCTAAACTCATCTTAGACAAAATAAAGTATCTGAACTTTTTCTCTCGTAACAGTGTTCAAATACGGAAGAATTTCTACTCATAAAGCTGCCACTGTAATGAGTTCATAGCGATGATGCCCCTAATCTAATAGTTCTTTCATACAACAGTTTGGACAGGAGTGACACAATGTGCAGGAGAACTGGCTCTCTCTGAGGATGAGGTTGATCGGTTGGAAATTTCTCTTTGTAGTTCTTCCACTTTTTTCTGAAGCTCTGCTCGTTTAGCAAGAAGTTCTTTATATCTGCTGTGAATAGGTTCCTACAAGAGCAAGACAAAATTACTCAACTGGCAGTCCTAGCCAAACCCAAGGTCACACCATTTCCTAAATGTTGCAGTCTGTTCTTTTAGTGACTGAGATGAATCCCATCTTCTCAACCTATCAGTGGAAATTAAGTTCAGATATTGTCACCACTGTTCTTTTCCAGTGCCCCTAAGTATTTCCACTATGGAGCTCCTTGTGGAACTGGTATTTTTACAAATATAACAAATAATTAAAAAGCCAATACTGAAAAGATTCTCTGTTGTTTAGTTGCAGATTTTTAGCCTTGAACAGTTTTAAGTAGTAAACATTTGATAAGTCCCTCTGTACCAGAATTTTACTGGACTTTTTACTTTCCTAAAGCTTCAGAATAAGACTCCCAGAAGTTAATCAAAGGAGGAAAGCACAAAAACTTGTCCAATCTACAAAGTCAGAAGAACCAGGTATAGAGACTAGCCCAATGTGCTTTCTCTACTCCACAATTATATCTATTAATAGGTAGAATGGAAGGATACAGATCTAATAGAGCTGGGTTGCACAAATGAAAATTCCCATCATACACTGTACCTGTGGTTTCATCCGTGGATTCCACCTTATGTAATATCCCACCCAGAGCTCTAGGTGGCGCATGCTGGCTACTGGATAAAGGACATGATTGGAATAGTTCCCATAGAGAGGATTAGTAAAGTCTTCCAACTGGCTATTTATATAAGACCACAATGACACAGTCCTTTTAGGAAGATTCTGTAAAAAGGAAAAATATATTCTGCCATAAGCTATACTTTAGATGAAATTTGTAAAAAGGTTCCACAAAAGGCGGTGTAGACTTGGACACTTTACACTAAAAACTAAAGGGTACTGGTAAAGTACAAGTCCTCAGAGTTAAACATAAGTTATCATGTGACTCAGCAATTCCATTCCTAACACATTTGAAAAGGTCTAAACAAAAACTTTGTTCAAACAGTATTATTCATAATAGAAAAAACATAGCCCATCAAATAATGACTGTATGAACAAAATACTCATAATGGAACACTGCTCAGCAATAAAAATAAATGATACCTGCTTCAACACAGATGAACCCTGAAAACAGTATACTACATGAAAGCCAAACACAAAAATCACATAATAAATGACTCCATTTAAATGAATTAAGAGGCAAATCCAGAGGTAGCAGGTAGGTTAGTTATTTAGCAGACATTAGAAGAGAATGGGTTTTCACTACTAGCAGGTGTGGGACTTACTTGGAGTGATGAAAATGTTCAGAAATTAAATGGTAATGTTTACACAACTCTAGAACACTAAAAGGCCATTAAATGCACAAAAGACTTGATCTGTATTATGCAAATTGAGTTTAAAAATTTGCTCAAGTCAAGATATAATGAATCCTACTAAGGTTCACAAAGTAACCAGAATTTATGCCGTTCTTAATTATCTGACATTCCTTAAATTACTGCCTTCCCACACATGGAAATACTTTCTTTCACTTAATGCCAGAAACTGAAGATACAATAGAGCATTCAAAGTACTTAATAGTCTAGGAAGAACTTAATACATAGCAGTTTCTGTGGTATTCTGGATGGCTTTATTTAATCTTCACAATAGTGAGTACCACCATTAAGGAAGCAAAAATAAGCTACCTTTTAACGTGTTATGGTATAAGTGTTTCAGAGATGTGGCTTTCAGAAGGTGACTGGATCATGGGTGCATGTCTGTACAGGGTGTATCTCTCTCACTCTGGCTCTTGCTTTCTTTGCTGATGTTGGTTGAGCAGCTTTCTTCCACCATACCAGTTCTGCCTTGGAACCAGCAGACCACGGATTTGAACCCTCTGAATCCATGAGCCAAAATAAACCGTTTTTCTTTAGGCTGTGGTTGTTCATTTTTTTTAGAGTAAAATTTGATACAGAATGTGGCACCAATGAAAATGATTAAGATATTCATATATAGGTGAAGATGAGAACTTGAAATATAATCCTTATAAGCAGTTAATATCAACCTCTTAACAGTGATACCTCTAGGAAGATGGGTAATGAAAAACTTTTTCTGTGTATTTGTTTGGTGTCTGAATCTTACAGTGTTATTTTACAATTTAAAAAACATAATTTGTCTTATTTGTATGCAGAATATAATATACTTTGAGATTTGAGCTCCCCATTCATTCAAGGGTTTGTTGTCTGTTAATTATAATTTTCTACATCCACTTCTGAAAGGTTTCTGTCCTTCAGGGAATAATGGGAACACTGGTAATCCCGTGGTCCCACTATTTTCAGTTCTCTTCAGCAAACACTATTCCCACCTTATGAACTCAGCTGACAGTTACCTGGCACCTTCAGCCTTATGACACATATTTCAGAATATATCACCTCCAGCTGTATAACAGAAGTAATCAAAGTACAGCACATAAAATATGACATATATGATGAAAAATAATATCCAAAACAACTACTTTAATTGACATCTGGCAAAGTGAATTCTTGAGAGAAAAGTATATAGTAAGGACAGTGGAAGGATGTAGGGCTCATAGCTATTTCTTTACCTCTTTTCCTCTCTGCTGTTCACTGTTACAGAGAAATGTTCCAAATAAACAGCTGTATAGGTGGTCCAAAATGGTAATGAGGAAATACTCATTGAATTCAAATGCGGTAGGAAACTGTAAATTGAACACCACAAATACATAATTGAGACATTTTTTCAAGTATATTCATTTTTTTCATGAGTAGATCCTCTGTAATGGTATTTAAAATTAACAACATTCAGAACTATAAATCTTAAGCTCTTGAGGGCATTGTCTGCTTAGTGTGGTTAAAAAATTACCACTTTTCTGAGGTAATTTCTCCCAGAATTTCTTTTTCTTGTGCAGCAAGTCTGAATGTTCTGCCCATTTTGTTTGTTGGTTCTTTAAATCTGTTAAACCCTAATCCTGCTGCCAAGCAAGTTTTGGCAAGTCCAGTCTTCACCTGTCCGTGGTAAGATTTTTCTTTATAAACTTTCAACAACATAAACATAAGTTTGCTGTTAGGAATTAAATATTAACAGTGTGTTCAGAAAATATGAGTAATACACAAAAGTAATTATACTACATAGAAGTGCAGATAATTTATAAATCAATCTACTTTTCAAGGAATATCCTGTCAAATCAGAATTTCTTATAATCCACTACACTTTGGCATCACCCTCTCTCTAACAAGAGCCAAGGGTCTCATTGAATATCCTAATTTTACACAATGCAATTTTGGAGGACTAATCAAAGGATCCTAAAAAGATAAAATTAATAGTTTAATCCATCCTATCAACGTTTCAAAATTAGTCTAAGGCTTCTATGTGAAACTGTACCATTTACAAGGTAATGAAAAAATTCCATGAATATCTGGATTGCCAAATGGGGAAAGTATTGTTTTCAGGTTTTTATTATTTGGAAGTCTTTACCCTGATAGTAGATGAAAATAGCATAAACTGCTGGCAGTGAGAATAAGGATGAAAATAAGTTGGCCTTACAAATTCCTAATTTTAGGAAGCTAAGGCCATGGTAACTTGGTAGGCTTCTCAGGCAATGAAAGGCAATTAGTGGGCCCTGAGTAATTTTTGTGGCTCTGAGGCTGAAGCAGGTGATCAAGCATATGGCAGTAACAAAAAGCCAGCTGACTATAAAAAACTGTTACATCTTATTCCTTCACTTAATAAATCCCATGTCCTGTGTTTGTCACACACTTAACAGTCTTATTTGCTAGCCAAGTATAAATACATTGACTCATTAAATCTAAAGGACTAATCTGCAGTTCATTCATCATATTGGCAAACCTATTGCTGTTATGAGAAAATAGCTTAATAGTGGGCATTTCTTCAACAAAACTGAAATAGAGCAGTAATTTCTGCTACGGCTTTTATAATTCTTAACAGATGAGTATTCTGTCTTCTTTACATAGTAATAACATGAAAGGCCTTTCAACAACTGCTTCCTGATCCCAGGGGTGAGGAGATGAGAATGTGGATGGGAATAGACCCAGAATGTGGCTAATCACAACCTACTAGCCCTATTTTACAAATGACTATGTAAGTCAAGCATTTATTTGATGTTTGTTTAGACTGTTAATATGACTAGGTAACATGTTTTATGTATGTTCAGGAGGAAAATATATTACCGATAGCCAATGTCTAAAAGGCCACTATAAAGCATCTTAAATTCTATCAAATAAACAGATAGATTTAAACTAATTTTGTAGTAACTACTTTCTTATTTCTAAAACACTGACCCCTGTCCTCCTATAATAAGCCAAGTGTATTTTGGTGTCTTCTAGTATCTTTCAAAAGATGAAATTCATTTATATTAACTTTTCAAACAAATGTTTGTTAGAAAGCTTGTAGAATGTTTAAAAACCATAGTTCTCTCCATGCCTAAAAACAACCGAATCTGTTACTAACTTTGCTATAATGTCTATCCAAACAGATTTTCCCTTAAAATAGTTAAAATTACTTGGAATAGGACACAATTTGGCTTGAGCTATATAGCTTCTTTCTTTACTTCCCTTAGCAATGTACTTGTAGGTTCTATTTAACACTATTTATTCAAAACAAAGAAGGAAGCCTTGCAGAATATCAATGCCACTGAAATGCTAATGGAATCAAACTGTAAAATGTTTAATATAACCCCCTCCAAATAATTTTAATTTAATATATGTTGACAGTAACTGATGAGTCTACTTCTTTTGAATACCTTACAAGAATTTCCATTTCACATCAACTATAGGATAATCATTGACCAAATCTCCCAATTCTGAGCTTGAAGGAGGTATGTAATATATGTTACCTGTCTTGTCATTTGCCAGACACAGTCAATAAACTGAAGAAAAACAGGTGATCTGTCTGCATCTGCATGGTTCTTATCTCCATGGCCAATTCTCTGAAGCAAACAGAGTGAATGTATTTAGGATATTTCACTTTTTAATGGAAATAATTTTTCCAACAAAAGCAATATTTGTTTAGTATTTTTTTTAATTAAAAAAAAATCTTTTCAAAGAGCATTACAAAGGAAGAAGAAATCACCATAATTCTACCGAGCAGAAATATCTATTAACATTTTCATGTACAAACTGCTACGTTTTTCTAAAATGAGATACCTGTAAAAGGAATTACCACATTGCTTAATAAATGAAAACCAGACCTTAAAGATTAATAATAGAGCAAGGAGCACACTTCAGAGCCCAGATTTTTGTCTTGGAGATTTAGTTACTTGTATAGTGGTCTCAGAAAGCACCTTCTCTTTTAATATCTTTGCCAGTGAATGAAAGATACCTCTTATCAGGAGGAACAACAGTAGCACAAATCTTTGAAACCTTTTCCAAAGTACTTGACATTCACTTTCCAAACTTGCAGTCACCCACTGCTACCTTCTTTTTTCTTCCTAAGGACCTCTGACACTGATTATTGGGGCAGAGCCCTGCTCCTTATCCCAAAGCATGGATTCACTCTTAAAAAGTATAGTTCATAGACTTCTGGAGGCTTTCAGGTCCGAGTTATTTTTATAATAATACTATAAAAATCTTTATTTGCCTTTTCCAGTGTCTTGACATTTAGTAAAAGCAATGCAGGATAAAACTTGTGTTGCCTTAGCAGGACTCAAGCAAAGCTGTGGCACCAAACTGCAATGGAAATAACTGTATTCTACCCTGTCAGATATTAATGCCCAAAGAAAATGCATAATGTGCTTCTGGTGCACACTGACACAGGACAACGAGAATTATCACTTTGCCACAGAACATCATTTTATACTCAATAATTTATATATCAATTATGGTTATTAAGACAAATATCTGGCAGACACTTTTGAAAAACAAAAAATTGTATCACTAATCGTAAAATTTAAGCTTTTGAAGCCAGGTATGGTGTTGCACACCTATAATCCTAGCACTTGGGAGGCTGAAAGAGGAGGATCACCACAAATTTGAGGCCAGCCTGGGCTATGTAGTGAGGTCAAGACTAGCCTGAACTACACAGCAAGAGCCTGTTTCAAAACCAAACAATAACAACAAAATTAAGACTTTTGGGTGAAAATGAGGTTTTTGGAAAACTCTTACCCACTACGATGACCTTAAATACTTCTGATGTCAGTGATGACATTAATGGATGTAATTTTATGATATTGTACTATGAAATATATTAATGTTGGGGATATCTGTATAACTCAGTAAGACAGAACTTTCCAGATAACCAATGATGTTACAAAATCATGCATGCATAAACTAACCCCCCCCCAAAAAAATCAATGGAATTTAACAGGCAAGAACAAAAAAATCACTTAGTTTTCAATGCCACATAATAGCTAACTTTTAATAAACATTCATCTCTCAAGTTTTGGCATAGTATTAAATAAAAATATTCGTGATTTCCTGGAAAAGCTAATAAAAAATGCTTTTCCAGATACCAGCACCTTAGGCAGCCCGAGCCAAAGCCCCACTTGGACAACAGCAGCTCAGGTGAGCAGGTCCCTGCCAGGGCCCTGCCCAGACATCATTGCTAAGTGAATGCAGGCTCCAGCCAAAGGCCTGCCTAGACAACAGTGGTGCAGGTGTGAAGGCCCCAGCTAGGGCCCTGCCCAGAAACCTGAGGCTTGAGCCCATAGGCCTCAGCCAAATGTCTGCCTAGGAAACAGCTGTGCAGGCACGCAGGACCCAGCCAGAAACCCGCCCAGACAATAGTGCAGTGCAGAGAAGGCCATCATTCTGAACCCAGGAATTGCCCCAGTGGTGAGCAGGAGAGAGAAGGCCCCTCTGAGGCTTGCTGAGAATTGAAGCCCACTGAGTGAGGAGAGTCACCTCAACAAAGGCAGAGCAGATTGCATCTGTTGAAATGATAAGACACATAAAGAAGACTCAAAACCAGACTTCCAGATCACCAAAGGCAACCCTAAGGGGCAATGACATGGAACAATCTGATTCTCAATCACTTGGATTCCCTGAACTGGCAATGAAAGAGGATCTGGAAAAAATAAAATCAGAAATAATTTCTTAGATAACAACAGATTGTGTCCATAGTGAAAGACATGATTAATAACTCTAGAGCAGACGCACATAAAAAAAAAATGAAGGAGCTGAAGGACATCATGGAATGCTAGCATAGGAAACAAATAGAATCCATAAAACAGATACAAACAGATATCCAGAAGATTAAAAACTCCATTGAAAGTTTACACAGCAGAATGAGCCAATTGGAGGACAGAATTTCAGATATAGAAGACAGGATTGCAATTAATGACAAGGAAAAGAAAAATTTCTAAGAAACAGTAATGTACCGCAATAAGTCAATTCACCAGCTGCTAGAAGATGCAAAGAAGAATAACATAAGACTGCAGAGTCAATGAAGAAACAGGAGATAGTGCAAATGACATAAAAAAAAATTATAGAAATAATGGCAGAAAACTTCCCAAGTGGGGGAAAAGAACTTGACATACAGATAAGTGAGGCATAAAAAAGACTCCAACTAACCATGATCAAAATAATCTACACCTAAGCATATAATAGCCAAGATGCCAGAACTGCACAGAAGAACAAAATACTACCAGCAGAGAAAAGAAATCATATACAAAGGAAAGGCTATCAGAATCACAGTAGATTTCTCAACACATACCCTCAAGTCAAGAAGAGCATGGAGTAAATTATTTCAAGCCCTAAAACAACCTCCAACTCAGACTGATGTACGCTACAAAACTGTCTTTCAAAACTGATGGAGAAATAAGATACTTTCATGACAAAGAGCACCTTAGGAACTTCATGAATACCAAACCAGCACTCCAAAAAATTTTAGACAATATC